GGCATGCTTCCCAGCAGCTGTCAGAAATGAATCCTGGGCAGCAGCGGGTGTGGGTTTCTAGAGGTCACCTGCTTGCTTTCCAGAGTACTTTCCTCAAGAGAAGAAAGCAATCGCAGTATTGGGTGAATCCCTACCACCCACCCACAGGCACCCTGCAATGCCAAACTGCTCACTAGCCCAGTCTCCAGATGAGAAGACAGAGGTGTGAAGAACTGAGTGCATATGTACCTGGAGCCTTCGTTTGGAGAGACGGAAAAGGCTTGGAGATGGACCGCAGTGATACCTGCACAACTCTGAATGGACTCAGTGCCGCTGAACTGTACATTTAAAGCAGGTAAGATGGCACATTTTATGATTATGTGTATTTTACCACAAGAGAAGAATATCTCAGACTAGAACTTAAGTAACACAGCTACCAAATGGAGAAGCCAAGGACCACACCTGACTGGTTCTGTCTGAGCCTGGATCTTAATCACCCTCCCATATTGTCTGCCTTGCAAGTGAGGATGGCAACCTGGCAGAAAATGCATATGGACAGAGGGACAAGCTGAGAAAGATGGTTTATGGGAGAGGGGAAGAAGACCAGGGTTTGAGCAGGAGTAGCATGGACAGATGTGCAGGTTAGGAAGCCCTCTCTGGCCTCCAGGAAGATGGACGAGAGGCTGGGTTGGAGGTGGGCATGAGTGTGGACAGGTGTGCAGGCGATGAGGGAGGAGCAGGTGATGGCTGCTTTTGCTGTCTCCTGGCCCATCTTCATCAGTTCCCACGGTGGTCGAGACTCTTGAGAGAAAGCCAGGGTGCAAACCTCCTCTCTGCCTCCAGAGGGCAGTGCTGCAAAGTCTTCAGGGAGCTGGGTTCTTCCCACGAAGAAGCCCCAGTCCAGCAGACGCCGGCTTCCACCCCACTTGCACGCCCTCCTTCACCCACTCCCCACCCCCCAGCCTTTGCTGCACCCTGGGAATCAGTGTCCTTTCACCAAGCACACAAATTATTAATAACTGTCACCTTACATTTGACACCGTGGAAGAAGTGGTGCATGCGTTAGCTCATGTGGCCCTTCTAAGAGACGCGCAGAGAAGAATGACCCCCTTCTCAAGTTTCCTGAGGACCACCTCATACTAAGGAAACAGGACCAGGAAAGGGCAGGGCCTGACCAACACCAGCACGTCAATGGTAGAGCCGGCCCTGGGGTCGTAGGCCAGCCAATGCTGGCTGGAGCCCGCAGGAAGACATAGCCTTGCGGTACCTGCCAGGTTACAGCCGTTAATGGTGACCACCAGACTGCCTGTGGAGCCCCCATTTTTCCCTTGGGCTCCCCCCTACCTTAGGAGGGCCATTCAGTGATTCATTTCCATGGGGTTGTCAGTCAGGTCAGGCTGACCTGACACCCACCTAGTATGATTTACTTCCTCCTCATCCTCTGCTTCCAAAATAACAAGTCATCCCCATCACCATCCCTGCCATAGTAATAATGGTGTGTGTCTCTCAGCTCTCAGAATTCAGCAAGCACCAATCCATCCATCAGCTCATCTGAGCCTTGACAGCTCTGGAGAGGCATTTCACAGACAATGGCATAGAGAATCAGAGGGGACCAGTGATCAGCCCTAAGTCACCCAGCAAGGCCTCAGGGGCAGTTTAGTTTTCTTAGGGAAGCGGTACATTTACCAAGGAGAAGACGGGACAAAAAGATGGGGTTACTACAGTCCTTTGGGGAGGTTTCTTGTCATCTTACTTCCCAGAAGAGGGCACAGGGCCTCGGTAAGCTGCTCACTGGTGGGGTCTGAGCTGTCTGGTACCTGAGCTCATGCTCTTTCTGGGGCACAGGGATGCCACTTCCAGGCAGGACGGCGAGTTTGGAACAGAGATCGGAGGGGGTTAGACCCAGGGCTTGGGAGAAGGCCACTGCTGGGGAAAAAAAGCCTAGAGAAGGGGGCAGCTTCCAAAAGGCATGGAGGTACAGGAACCTGCAGACAGGTCCCAGTTGCCACAGAAAGTGTCGCATGGCTCATACAGGGTGGAAGAGCCAGCGCTGTGCTGAGCTACGGGGTGGGGCGGCTCCAACGGGACCCCCAGGCCCACCTGCAGACCCCACTTCTCGTCCCATGGTTGGAAGGTGCCTGGGGGTGGAGGATGCAGCTGACGAAGGGGAAGGCCTGAGCACTTAGCAGGACAGAGCTGGTTTCTCTTCAGCTGACCAAGGAAACAAGGCCAGGAAAAGAGGGCTGGTGACTCCCTCATGACATCACACTCTCTGGGCATTGGTGTCCAGATCTGGGGAAAGGAAGGACTGAATTAAGTGAGCTCCACAGCCCTCTCACTCTGACCTTCTGAGCACAACTCATTCATCCTCCTTGCCCCTGGCTCACATCCCAGCCCTGCTGTCCAAGTACTCAGCACATAGCCTTGGGCAAGTGGCCTTTCTGAGCGGCTGTGTGCTTCTGGACAACGTAAGTGCAACCTTGCTTTCCCTGGGCAGAGCTAAGGAGTCAGGCATGGGAGCTGTCTGACAGCAGAGGCTGTGAACCCAAGCCACATGTAAGGCTGGGGTGGCCCAGGCGCTGACCAAGGCCTCACTTGACCGCCTGGCTCTCTGAGTGCTCATTTATAGATATCCGCTCCCTGGCTGGACGGTGAGAGAGAAGTGGGAGCGAAGATGCTGAGGCGGCAGTTTGATGTCTTTTTTAGGAAGGAGCCTCTGACCACTCTTCCCCTTCTTGCCCCTGCCGCCTCATCTTTTGAACCAACTCACAGTGACCCTCAGGACCATCCGGGAGGCAGATGGTTTTGACATCATGGCCTCCGTGTTACAGATGGAAAGACTGAGACTCAAATAGGAATTTGCCCAAAGTTCCCCAGCAGGGTTGTGACAGAGCTGGGGCAGAATTAAGCTCTCAAATCTGCAGCTCACTCTCTTTCCCTTGTACTCAAATCAGGTTGTCTAAGTTGAAGAATCTCCTATTTTGCCTGCATTACAAAAGGCACGTCTCTAAGTGGGTTGACTTAGAGAGATGAAGACCTTATGTTCTGCCAAGAGCCCAGGGTTTTACAGCAGCATCAGGCTTGGTGTGAGATACTGTGTGTGAACACCATAGGTCCCTAGAAGCTGCACAGTTTTGCAAGCTGAGCCAGGCTTTACCAGCATCACGAGGCTAAAAAAGGCATCAAGTTTTGCAAACTGTGGGAATCCACAGATGGTGTTAGAATCTACACATATCACGGGGCTCTCTATAAAATGCATAGAGCACAGCAAACACCACACATCGGGCAAGTGACAAATCCAAAGCACAAACCAGCAGGGTCAGAATTCAAGCCTGGGCTACCCACAATGGGGCCTCATGTGAGATTAGCCCAGGAGCTGGTCTGACTGCCGAATGGCCAAAGAACCAGTGGCTCCTGGGTACCTGACCATGGTCTAGGTCCAGAGCTCTGAGTTCAAGAATATTCTGGTCCCAGTACATACACAGACCATTCTGTGAACTTCTTCAGCCTTTGACACCAGGATAGGAACAATGGAGCTTTTAGACATCTAAAGAGATCTTCCCTTCTTAACTGTACACTTGCAATTTAGAGCCATGGAAGGCTCTACCTCTAACAATCTCTAGATGTGCAGACTTTGAGGATTTAGAAAGAACTAATTTGATTTCCTCTGGCCTCTCTGCCAATCCAAGCCAACTTTTGACCTCTCTCCATGGTCATGCATTCCCATTTCTAGTTTCTCAAAGACTCATTCATTCATGCAGCATTCAGCATTCTATTGGGTGCCCAGTGAGTGCCGGGTACATCACACATTCCAGACATCCTACCAGCACCCTCGTCCAGCTACAAGGAGCCAAATGGGACTGAAGGATGTTTCTCTGTCATTGCACGGAAAGCTAGATTCCAAACCCACATTCACAGTCCATGCAAAGATCCTATTTCTGATCAGGTTCATGTCTACATCCTGGTTTTGGAGAAACCCAGAGATCTTTCCCTGGGAAGACAGCTTGAACAAGGAAAACAGCTAGTCTAAGCAGCAGAGGTACCAAGACATGGTCCCATCACCAGCTAGCTGAGTGATCTCTGGCACGTGACGGAGACTCAGTGCCTCTTCTGTAAAATGTACGTAGCCTCTGGGGTGATGGAAGGGCCCAAAGGAGCCTCAGGGTGAAGATGCTGCCAAGCGGAGGAGGAAAAAGAGGATGTTTTCTCTCCCGCCTGCCTCGGGGCCCTGCCTCTGCCGCTCCCTTCTCTTCCACACTTTCAAGGCCTCCAGGCACAGCTTCTTTACATCTTGTTGACCTTTCACAACAGCGCTGCAAGGAAAGGTTATTGCACCTTCTTCCTCGTGAGGGATCTGACCTGAGTCCGGGAGGTGAAGGGACTTGTCTACGGCAGCCACTTGCTCAGCCCGTGTAGGTGAGATGGGACAGGTCTGACTGGCTGCAAGGCCTCGGTCCTCGGGTCTTAGTCCAGAAATACCTGGGAATTTCACATTTGCCTTCTGCTCTCCTTCCTCTGTCCCTCCCCTGTTTCTCCCTCCCTTGCTTCCCTTCCTTTCTCCCTCTCTTCCCTCCCTCCCTCTCTTAGTCATCTAGGTGGCTATGGTTGATGGAACACCTACAGTGTCTCGCCCAGGTGGGCTATCATTGGGCTTCCAGGTGGACAATCATTCCTTAGTCTGGAACCTCAGGGCTGGGGGAGGGTACTCAGTGAAAGGTAACAGGGCTTGAGGGAGCAGGAGTGCGGTGAAGGAGGGCAACAGCTCAGCGGGCTCATGGAAGGCCATGGAAGCTCTCTAGGAGGACAAGAGCTTGGTAGGAGAAAGAGCTCAGATGCAAAGTGGAGGGCGATAAAGAGACTGGGGGTTCAAGGCTAGAGGGCCCTTGGCTCAAGGAGACCCGGTGACATCTATTTTTTCCAAGGCTAACACAGGAGAAATATCTAAGGGAAGCCCCAGGGCCAGAAGCTGGGAGGAGCAGGCTGTCTAAGCCTCAGAGAGTCAGGACAGCCTCCTCCCAGCAGGGGGGTGGACCTAAACAAGCCCTGCTTCCTACACCACCCTGGCCCCAGGCTGTCCCAGCCAGGGCAGAGAGAGGGGAAGAAGCAAGTAACCCAGGGAGTCGGGCCCTTGGAGAGGGGCTAGTTTGACCAGGACCCTCTAACTCTGCCTGGAGAGGTGGTGGCTGCTGTTTTGTGTGGCCCGGGAGACATCACCAAAGCTCGCCTGCAGGATCTCCCCCTCAGGCTCACTTCCTCCCACTGCTCAGCTCTGCATCCTGAGACTGACGTAGGATCTGGAACTCACTGCACTCTCCCTGTCATGGGACCCAGGATAGGTAAGTCCAGAGGGAGTAAGGAAGGGCATTGGGAAGTGGACTGGAGGCCGGGTTCCCAGTGAGAAGAGCAAGGCTATGGGGCCAAAACGGGTGTGCTGAGGTGGGAAGGGAGTGCACAGCTCTCAGAACAGCCAAACACCCGCCCGGAACACTGTAAGTGAGGGAGTGACCGAGGAATAGGAAAGGGCCTGTTTACTCAGCTGGAGGCAGGGAACCCAGCCAAACCACCCTGATGAGACCCAAATGGACTGGGAGAAAACAGTGATACAAGCCTGATCCCCCTGTGAAGGAGACAAAGTTAGAGACAGACAAGTCAAATAGCGCAGAGAAAGACGAGACACGTGCAGGGAGGGGCAGAAAGATAGGAGGCAGATCAACAGGTCTGGGCAGGAGCTGCAGGGGCAGGGAGGAGAGCAGTCCTGGAGAGAATGTGGCAGCAGAGATGAGGAAGATATGGAGAAAAGCAGGAGGCAGTGAGAGTGAGAAAGGGAAAGGGAAAGCATGGGACACACAGGGACAGACATTGCAGGGTGACAGACCTGCAGACAGAGACCCAGCTAGATCCTTATAAAAGAGAGAGATTCAAGGGACCAGGGATATAGCTCAGCGGCACAGCACCTGCCTGGCAAGTGCAAGGTCCTGGGTTAGATTTCCAGTACCAAAAAAAAAAAAAAAAAAGAGAGAGAGAGAGAAAGAGAGAGAGAGGGATTCAGAGAGAGACCTGCAGAAACCTACCTGGCTTGGCCGTGGAGCAGGGAGGAAGGAGGGGAAATATCTGGACACCTCCAGGAACCAAGCTTGTGCATGGCAGGGAAGCACCTGGGTAGGGCACAGGGTTTCTGGGAGTCAGCACCCGGCCCAGTGTATCTCAGGCAGGCAGCGGGCAGTGGAGGAAACAAAGGATCTTCACACTGGGTACCCCAGCAGCCACCTACAGTGAAGCCCTGGGGCCTCCCTCCAGACTGCCTACCTTTCGTCCCACACTGTGTGGGCCTCACATCCCCGGCAAGGCTGGGCCTGCTTCCAGGGGCCCAGCAGTGACGGCATCACAGGCCAAGGGACTCCAGGCAGATGCAGTCACAGTTCGGGGACCGTGGCTTGACAGGAAGGGTGAAGGCAAATGTTTCCTTCCAGGGGGCGTCGCAAAAGAGAAGAAAATGAGGTCAGATTTGCCAGGCTTGGTTTTAGGCAACGAATGGGCCACTGAGCAGCCAAATCCCCAGTCAGCCTTGGCTCCGAGGGCTGGGGGAGCTGGAGACGCTGTGGTGTGGCCAAAACCAGAGACTCTGATTCTTCTGCACCTGCTGCTCCCCAGTGCCCACCCCCATGACTGTTTTTCTAGCTCCCACAAGATGCTGCTCTGGAATATTCGCTGATTACCCCCAACACCCCATAGCAGAAAGCTGACCCCTGTGTCCACCCCGTGTCCACCCCCTGCCCACCAGAAGCCACTTCTAGTTTTGCTTCCGAAGCCCCAATCTGGGCTTACAGCCAGGCTCACCATGGGACTCAGGATGGGGAAAAACGCAGGTGGGGCAGGATACAGAGCCTGGACCCTGGAGACAGTCCAGGGCCACTCACAGAGAGGCCAGCTGTCCCCACCAGATGCAGACACCAGATACGAGTGAGGGCCAGACGTGGCTCCCACAGAACCCCACCACCACCTGACCACATGTCCTCAGGCAACAGAGAGCTTCCCTGTCTGCACAGGAAGGTGCTAGAGAAAATAATCTCCCTCAGCGGTTCCCACAGTGCAGTCCAGAGAAACCACATTCCCACCTCTGCACCCTTGCTCAGGAAGGCCCCTGCACGCCCCATGCAGGTGGAATTTTCCCAGTTCCCACTCGTAGGAACATCAGCTCCTCCAGGAAGTCTTCCAGGCTGACTCTCCCAGCTGGAGGTAACCCCTGCCAGTCAGCGCCCGAGTGCTAGCTAACCCTGTCTTTGATCCATCCTCCCTTACTCCGGGAGTTCTGCTCTTGCTCTCTGCAAGCTGCTGTGTTCAAACATGGGCCATCCCAGGGAAGATGGGAGAAGTGATGGTAAGAACTAGCAGGGCCCATGTTCACATTGAAGCTCTGCATCACTAGCTTTATGAGAACTCAGTGGAATGTTCTCATCCTTTGTAATGGGTGAGGAAAAAGATGCTCAGAGAGGGCAAATAACTTGTCCAAGGTCACTCAGCAGATAAACAGCAAAGTGGGGGCCAGTGCCATCTGCCTAATGCTAAAGATTTTTCCTCTTTGTTCCAGTGCCCGTGGGGGATTTCTCTTCCTTCCACACACCTCACATTGGTGGGTCTCTGCCCACCTCGGCCAATTCTCCACTGACTGTGCTGCCTCCAGACAAAACAAGCTGTTTTCTGGATGCCAATGACTAGAGTGTGGGTGGAGTTGGAGTTATTTCCTCCCAACCTGAAATGGCCTTGCCTACAGGGCCAGATCCCAGGCAGCTGAGAAGCAGATAGTGAGCCAACCTAGACTCCATCAATGGGGTGCCAGGCATTCCACGTCCAGTCTCATTCTGTCCCTGTCCAGGACTCAATTTCTCCATCCATGCAATAGATAGAAGGAGGTGGCCAAGATGGTCACTTGGTCCCTTTTGTAGTGATAAGAAGCCCAATCTCTTGGGGGAGCGGCAGAGCAGAGCCTTTCCATAAAAGTATGGTCCCTTCTTCCCATCTATGTTGGGGACTTGCCTGTCTCCAGAGTGCCACCTGGGGCTTCTGCTGCTCCCTGTGGGTATAGGTGCCGCCCTCACAGGCTGCACCCCAGAGCCTAATACTAAGGCTTGCAGTGGTGGAGAGTGACACCCATCTCAGCACGCCAGTACTCCCTGTGGGTAGAGCCTGATTTCACCCAGGCCTGGCGCCTCTGAACAGGGGTGGTGGGAAGGGTTCAGGGCATAAGCTTTTCTCCTGTGTCTCCATGCTCCTGCCCCGCCGTACTCCTTCCCCGCTCCAACCTTTCCTGAAGGCTTAAAGCCTGCCCGGAGCCAGGCTCTGTGCTGATAGGGGCAGCACGAAACCAGGCAGTGGTCCTGCCCTCCATGGCCTCCCAGGGGACCAGAGAGTCACAGACACAAATCACATGCATAAAAAAAGCTGAAGTTAGAAACTGTCAAAAACACCTAGCTACACAGTGGGCGCCAGTAGCACCCTAGGAGGGAGGGCCTCAATAGAGGCTCAACAGGGTGTGCGTTCTAGCAGGGCAGAGGGCGTTGCAAATGCTTGGAGAAGTGATGGGCCTGGCATGTCTGTGGAGACAGTGAGCTGCCCTGTGCGGTCCAAGTAGGGGAAGTCACTGCGCAATATTTAAAAATTTAGAAGCTGATGGGACCCCCATCACACAGAGCTTGTATGCCGAGTTGGACATATGGACTTTGTCTAGGAAGCAATTGGGAGCTATAGAAAGTATGTGAGAAGAGCAGTGGCCATGCTTCAGGGGTCCAAATCTGCTTCCTGGCAATGCTCATCATAAGCTCATGTGTGTGGTGTTTCTATGAGTACAAAGCACCCTTGGGTCCATTTTACAGCTAAGGCTGTGAGGAGCTCAGTGACTTGTCCAGGCTGCACAGCTAGCCGCTGGCAGGTCAGGGGTGCACTAAAGCCCCACTGGTGTCAGGCTCCTCCCTGGCTGTCCCTTTGCCCTCTTTCTTGAAGAGTCTGTACCACAGGCTCCCAAGGGCTCAGCCTAGTGGACAGTGGCCTGGGCTGAGCTCCTCTCCAGACCCAGGGTCTTTCAGGCCTAGACATTTCTAAGACAGTTCTTTGAATGCATGTGCGAAATAGCTGCCCCTTCTCCAGGACTGGAGACCCTGGGTCCCTTGAGGAGTTGATTTAAGCACAGACAGCAATGACCTGGGGCCATAAAGAGGGGAAGGTGGTGTGGTCTCGGGCCCACAGCCATCTCTCTTGCACCTCAGCCCCTTGTTTTAGGCCTAAACAGACAGACATGGGTTCCCTATATGCTCAGGACTCACCCTCCCCCCAGTCCAAGATCCTATTTTTCAGGTCATCTTGGGTCTAGATGGGCTAGCCAAGGGCCAGAACTGGGAACAGAAAGTCCCAGCGCAGGGTCCTTGTCCCAGCTGGGAAACCACCAGAAAAAGTGCCTGGTCTCCTTCCCCCTCTTACTGGATCTCTCTCAAGACACGCAGCCAGAGTTCAAGTGCCTTACTGTCCAAGAGACCACCCAAGGGTCCCGCCAGAAGGAATTTCCCTCACATGACAGCCAAGCCTGATGCCTAAGCAGAGACACCCGCCTTCCTGCCTGTGACACTTTCCCCTCCACACCACTGGGCTAGGTTGCTCCACCTGCCCCAGACCCACCATGGCTTCCTGCCTGCCTATTGCCCCTGCTCCTGCCTTCTGGGCTCCCTCATTCAGTGTATCTCAATTCAGCAATCATGCTCTCCAGCTGGGCCAGACCTTGCATGAGGAGAAGTGGTTTTCCAGGGAGGAAGGGGAGCTGGGACTGATATGTATGTTCACAGGCTTAAAGGTGGGGAGGACACAAGGAGCACAGAGAATGGCAAGAGCCAGAGACCAAGGAGTGGATAGATGATGCATGAGTGGCTCCTGCAGCCTTGATCCTGAGGCCAGGAGTGTGGACTCCTTGTGTGGCAACTGGGGGAGGGGGATTTCCCTCAATCCTACCCAAACTGTTATGAGACACACCCTAGTCTCTCACTTACTGAGAAGGAAACTGAAGCTTAGAGGGCTCGCTAAGCTGCCCGAGCTCACTCAGCTAGTGTTGAAAAATAAATATTTAAATCCAAAGTCTTCTCTGGAAGAACCCAGAGGTTCCAGCAGGGACCCAGCATGCTCCATCTGGTCAGGTGGACAGGACAGATTATCCGGGGGTGTTTACCACCTCATCAGGCAGCTCAGAGGACATAAATAGCAAGAGTGACCAACTGCCACTGAGGGAAAGGCAGCAGGGACCGGCCTGAGAGGGACACATGGTGGAGGGAGGGAGCAACAGCTAGGCAGGACCCTG